CAGATCTTGCAGTTCCTGCGAATAAGAAAAAGGTATTAAGTTAGTTGACAATTAGAGATATATATGTATGAGTAGCATAAATACAGTGAATACTCTCTTTCAGGCCACTGTTTCAATTATTTGAATGTTATATATTTGATCATATCAATAAGTCTGCTGTTTATGATCAATTAAAGCCATTTTTTTCGGCTTCAGCTATTCGTGTTAAGGAACTGAGCGCATCAAAGAGAATTCACTGTATATAACATATTATATGGGAAAAGACTAAATTGCCAAACATTTTGCATGCGCATTTCATAAATACAAATTTCTTCCGCCTTGCTTTTTGATTCTCTTGCTGCATATTTATATATGTATTCCATACATATTTACTCTACATTTACATGAGCCATTTGAAATGATATGCATTTAAAATGCACAAATATATTACAAGAAATTTTAAGCACACAAAAATATGAAAATTTTTATTCGCAACGGCCAGCGGCAAATGCGAGTGACGCGAAAATCAAGTTCGTTGGCCCGAACCAGAAGGCAGCACAGCCAGCACCCTGCTTGCTCTTTCGCTCTTACTCCCGCTCCCGGCTGCACTCGTTCTTCTTCCTCGCTCGCTCTTCTCTCATTGCCTGTCGCACGCACACAGCTGAGCGGCTGTGGCCCGACCCCCTCCCTGACCCATCTTCTCTGCAGCACAGCTGCCAACATGGGGCGTACAAATAGGTGTAAAGTAAACCGGCAAAAAAAATATTATAAGAAAAAAATCGCTTACAGAAAAATGATGAGCTGTGCGGAAGGTAGCAAAACGAGAGCCTTGGCACAATATACATTGAGCGAACGGCAGGAGAGCGAGAGAGAGACAAAGACAAAGGGAAAAAGAGGACTGCAGTAAGTGGAGGGGTAGGAAAAAGTTTTAAAGCGAACGGCTGACTGCCTCTGTCGCAGTCGCAGTCGCAGTCGCCGTCGCTGCCTCAGTCGCAGCATAAGCTTTTGTCGTTGCTTCTCTTTGTGATGATTTCGCACAGCCACAAAATGATATGGAAAGCAAAATAAAACATTTCATTTGCCGTCACATCGACGAGCGGAAAAACAGAAAAATATGCGCGACGCACAAAAATATAAATAGATTCGAAAGACTTCTTTTCTTTTTGCCACATGCTACGCATTTTTCGACGTGTACCTGTTGAGCAAAAAATAATTACAACAAAGAGTGAAAAGAACAACAACATGGCATAAGAAAACTGTTACAAAACGAACGGCAAATAAAGCGAACACCAAGTTCGAGGAGACTTTCAATGCGGCCAGGCCACCTCTGCCGACGGCATGACTCACACGTTGGCCACAGAGACGCGCCAGCAAGTGTGAGTGTTTTGCTTTATAATTCAAATAAAAACAAACTAACGGTCGCTAGCACACGAATAAGCATGCACACAAACACACATGGCTTGATCAGCAAGCTCGTGTGGGAGAGAGATAGATAGATAGAGAGAGAGAGAGAGCTGGCGAGAGCCCGGCTTACAGCGTATATTTCTTTTCCTTTTCTTTTTCTATTTATTCAATTCATTTTTGGCAATTCAGGCCAACTGACGACTACAACAACAACTACAACAGCAACAGCTCAATCAGCGAAACCTTGGCTATGTCAGAGAGAATAGAGCGAATGAGTAGGGGGGAAACCAAAGTAGTTGCCCGCTAATTGCAAGCTGTTAGCTGTACGCACGGAAGGGGAAGAGGGACACATTACATAAAAAATACAAAGACAAGAAATAATAATAAATTAACATCAATTCATTTAGCATTACGGGTGCTTCCTCAGTTTCACTAGTATTTCATTTTCATTTCATTTCGTTTATATGTGTACGTATCAAAGTTTATAACAAAAACAGCACCTAAAGAAAAAAATGCAATGGCCATGACGCTCGTGGTTCGTGACGCTGCAGACGTCAACGGCAACGCCAGCGTCGCTGCTTTTGTTGCTCGAGCAGTCAGCAGACCCCCTTCACCACATAAGCAGACAACACACACATATATATATATTCATAAATATACACATACTGTGTATATGTAGATATGCTTGCGTGTATGACTTATTAGCGATAATTTACATTATTTAAACTGAAATTATGTTAAATTATAATTTTGTAGTAATTATTTGTGCTCTATATGCTGCAGTGTTTTTCAACACTATATTCAGTTGCCATCTCACATATACACACGCACACATAGAAATTCTCTTAGCACTGCCCCATTCGCTTAACATTAGCGCGTAAGAAAGAGCCAAATACAGTGTATGGCCAGACGAACTAGCAGCTGCTGCCGATTTTACCGAGCACTCTTTGGGCGTCTCATGGGGGTGTGTGAGCGAGATGGTTAAATTCATATGGTGCTGTTCACTGTTTGTGACTGTGCAAAGACTTTATAAGCGTATGACTGAGTTTGTGTGTGCGTGTGTGTATGTGTGTTGGTGGGGGCTATGATGGTGAACCGGCCTCACTCAAATCGAACTTTAATTTTCCAGAAATAAATTTGAGCGCTTATAATGTAAATAGAATATAGACTTTTTTTTTAAAGAATTAAACATGAACGTAAAACGTTGAGATGTCAAAGAGAAACATATCGGCATGCATAAGAGGGTGACTTGTCGTTCCCTTGAGAGCGAGCGAGTGAGCGAGTCAATAGCTGCAGCAGATGGGGGCAGCTACAATAAACGGACACCGCAACAGAAATTCCGTTGAAAATTATATTATGCGATATGAATGCACATTAAATCATTTGCATAGTCAATTGCACTTTGTCTGGTCCATTGACCAGCAGATAGGAGTTTGGAGTTGGGCACTTTCAACTGTTAGTCACTGCAGAAATAATTAATAAATTTACTCGCTTTCACACACGCACAATCATCATCGGCACATTAATGCAATGGGCACGAATACATACATATTTAAGTGCCTGCGTGTGAGTATATATACATATATATATATATATTAGGCAGCACTATTTCTGAATTATCAGCGCAAAAAGTAAGGTTAGGTTAATTTTATACGCTTTTACTTCATGTATTCGCCGTGTTTTATTTTTTGCTGGATCTTTCTGTGGCGCTGGCAACAACAACACGCACTCATACACTCATAAACAGAGGAATATACGCGCGTGGTAGTGCCCTGCTATATATATAAATATTACTTATATATACACAACGGCATGTATTGGGTAACATAGTGGAGCCCGAGAGCGCGGCGCTGAGACTCTGTTGGCCAAAAGTTGACCAGATGACGGCGGTGTTGACCAGGTGCCCGGCTTGCATGCATGCACACACACAAGCACGCATGCTTTGCCACCCGCTCAACTGCACTCACACACACATTTACTGTGTAACGGAAACTACGACCAATACAAATGGCCGTACACGTTGTCCGTGTCCGTTGCCTAGCCCAGCTCACACACACACATGCACATGCACAGGATATATTGCCAGCTATTCCTAATTAGAGTCCCATATAAGGTTGAGGCTCTTTTGCTCAATTGTTGGTATTTGTGTTAATCATCGACTAAATACTAAACCTAAACTTGTTTTACTCTTTTAGCTTCTGTTGTAATTAATGCACGTCGTCATCGCCCATTTTTCCTTATGCTTCTTTTGCTTTTTGCACGTTTTCTTTCGCTCACGTATTCGGTTCATTTTTTTTTTTTTTTTTTTCTTTCTTTGTACATTGCCGTTGTCGTTCCTACGTTTCACATTTCTTGCATAAATTTTTTGTCGCACAAGAAATTTCTATTCACATTTTTTTGTTGGTTTTTCTTTTTTTTTTTTTTTGCTACATATTCAAACTTTTACACTTTTGAAATGCATACTAATGCGAAAATGATTTGTACAATTTGATTTCATTTTTATCGTTTTTTCACATACCTTATTGATTCTTTTTAACGCCATTTTCTGATTGAAATTTGATTTTCTTGTGTGTGTGGTGTTGTGTTGGTGAGAGTGTATCAGTTGTACGTTTCTCTTTGCTTTTCGATTACTTTTTGTTCTTTGTCGAATTACACAAAACGAGAAATTGTTAACTATTGAAAAATGCTATAGAAAAAACCAAACGAAACACAAAAGCTGCGGTAGGCTTTATATTTTCACTGTGTTCTGGCTATTTTCTGCTCAGCTTTTCTCCGAGGTTACAGTCTAGAAATATTGCAGCACTGCGAGTAGAACGGCGCCCCGACGACAACTACGGCTGCGATATTTTTCGCTGCTTTAAGCGACGAACGGATGTGAGTGAGACCGACACGATGACTAACAGCGGACGAAGTGAGCGACGTTTCAAAGTGCGCGAGTGTGACAGAGACGAGTTTAGTGTGTGACGTGTCTAGGTGTTGGAAAGTGTATGATAATTTTCAACACTCATCAACAGAACAGCACAGCTATCTCATGCAGTTAACTGTCTGGCCAGATCGATATTATCTGCAAAGAGAGGGAAAAGACTATTTAATCTATGTGGCAACTCGACATGACAATAATTGGGCATTTACATTTTATATTTTAAATGAATTATTTACTTACATTTTGCGACAGCAGCAGCAAATAACAACACAGGTCTAAATTAGATGGAAACTGGAATGGGGGCGTCGTGTGCGTGTTTGGAAAATTTAGTAATCGAAAATCAGCGTCAGAACTATAAACGAAGGCACATCGAAAATTCCAACCAACAAAAACTGTTTAAACCGGCTGCGACGCAATTGTGTATGTCCGCTGCGTTTTCTGTCTGCGCGCACTAAATGCTGTTAATTAATTGTTTCTATGAGCACACAACGTGTTGCTTGCTGCCGGAATGTTTTTACTGATGAATTTTGATGGAGTTGTCCTATGTATTTGCTAATGTTTGAACAGCTACTCTGTTTGAAAATTTGAGTTGAAATCCTGCATTGCCCAGCTGTTGGTATATAAAAAAGTATTTTTTGGTATTATTTAAAATTTTATGTGGGACAACAGTGCTACCAGACTGTCCACAAAGTATGGTACATAACTTGCAGATATTGCCGCTTGTGAAGTTCGGCCACATTCAACTGTCTGCAAATTTAAACAAAAAAAGGAAATTAGCAAGCAAACTTCACATGAATAAATCAATTCGGTTAATTATTTAGCAAACGCAACGCGTAAGTTTTGCATGTCTCAAAGCGACAAAACGTTTCGTGAACGATCAAATACATACAAACCGCTGCAGCTACAGTTTTAACAGTTGTTGTTGCTGCCGATTTGCGAAGCGACAAAGTGCTCGTGTGTGCGTTTTTGAGCGTGAGTGTCAGTGTGTGTGCGACAGTATGTGCGTATATTTGTGTGTGTGAAGATAATTTAGTTAGAGGTCATTTCTATGCGTAAGTCTTTGCAACATGCGGCGGCACCCAGTTGTTGAAAGCGGGACCATCGTCTTCACACATCACACGAGCCACAACAACAAAGGACGTTTGCAGCTGTACGCCTACGTCCACGCCCACTTCGAAGCGTGCAGCAGCAGCAACGCCAGCTTTGTTTTATAGTACGCGCAGCCATGCCAACAACAACAACAACAGCAGTAAAATCCACTGAAGAAGAAGAAGAGGAAAATTGCGATACGCCAATGGCGTCTGCTACTACAACAAGAACAAGAACATCGGAGGAGCAGCCACAACCACCATCGTTGCCGTCAGCTGCGGCGTCGCCCTCAGAATCGCTGCAGGCGTCAACTACTGATGCAATGTCAAAGGCAGCTGCGCGGCCAACGCCAACACCCTCACTGTTGCCTCTGCTGGCGTCGGCTGCCGCTTGCAATAAACAGTTACTGTTCTGCCGGCGTTTTAAGGATGCGTCCGCTGGCAACGTAGACGGTGCTAGCTTTTTACGTAATTTCAACTCATTGCCGTTATTCGTCTACGCAACGTCACCGTCGACGCACGCCATTTCAGCAGATGGCGTTGGCGTTGCCAAGGAAGCAGCAGCCGCTGCTGCCGCTGCGTCGGCGTTCAGTCAAAAGGTATGTTGAGCTTTCATTTTCTATTCTTCCTTAACTCTCTCTCTCTCTCGCTCTCTCTCTCACATGCGATATCATCTCCCATTGTAGTCGCTCTCTTTGTTCTTGAATTGCATAATTGAGCATTTCCGCTGCACATTAAGGGGTGGCTTTGGGTAGACTTGCGGTATTAATGTTGGATGTTGGATGCGGTGTTGGGGTAGGAGGCAAAGCTTGGTGCAGCCATTGATCGTGCCGTATCTGCCTTTTTATAATTTATTATTATCTGTTTTATACTGTGCGTTCTGCTTGGCTTGCGTTGCGTCTCTGCACTTGTCTCACCCATGCGCCTTCCCCAATCTGTCTGCCTCGCTCTCTTTCTGCGTCGGCTGCGTTTGCGCGGAAATTAATGTTCTTGTTGTTGCTGTTGTTGTGCGATATCAAACCGCTGCAACTGCAACGGCGCAGCTCGCGCCATTTTTGTTCAGTTCGTGGCCAACAAAATATGCGTTTTTAATATTAATTATAAAATTGTTTTATCTGTATAATACCCTCTATCTATTAGAAAAAGGGCATATTGGCTTTCTTTATATAGCAGGCAAATACATCAAACTGATTTTGCGTCATACAATTATAGTAAATTTGTTGATTAATATTTTATATTTTCAAAAATTCAGTAAGCAATAAAATGCATGAGTCTAATTCTCAGTATCAAGGGGGCTTAAAGCTAAGTATAGGGTATCTGAATCCTCGCTTTGGCTTTTTGACTTTTTATTGTCTGTTGGCGGTGATCGCTCAAACGTGTCGAGCCGTCGTCATTAATGAACCCCACATCAGTCAGCCTGAGCGTAACTGTGCTTTGCTTTTGTCTAGTGTGCGAAAGTGTGGGTGGGAGGGGGAGAGAGAGAGAGAGAGAGAGAGCAAGAAGAGGATTGTGTGTGTTTGTTTGTGTGTGCAATATGCTATGCATATGCTGCCTACAGGTGCAGCCACCGACTGAGGTTCGTGCCTGCTCTCCTTTTGTTTTTGATTGCGGATCGTGCTCTCTTTTGCTCTCTCCCTGTATGCGCTTCACTTATGCTGCGCTTGTTGATATTGCTGCTATTGTTTGTTTGTGTTGCTGCTGCGGCTCAGTGACTTGTGACGTGCACGCGCTGCTGCTGCGGCAGCTGCTGTGGCTGCTGTTCATAAGCTTCATTAACAGAATACAACGCAAATGCTTTTGCCAATCGACGGCCATTTTGAATTTGTGCGCTCTCGCAGATTGCCGAAAATTATTAAAGCTTTCTGTGATTACACTCAGAAGCTTCTTTTCGTTTCTTATTTGACACTTTTTGAACAGCGTCCCAATTGGACAAGTTGAGTGGAGCGAGCTGTTCTCAAGAATAGCGCTATCCTTATCGTTCGCACACGCTCTCCTAATGCAATTACCTATTGTCTGCTTGTATCCCCTTCGCTCGCTCTTGTTTATGTGTCAAATTTAAATCAATTTTGCTTCTGATTGCAATTTAAGTGGCATGCTACAAGCGTTCGCTGTCGCCTAACCCTTGTCACAAAATATTGTAGATACACACATATATATACATTTTTTATTATTTATTTCAACCATATGTGTGTCGTATGTGTGCGTATGCTTGTGCGTGTTGTCTTCCTAAATATTCATTGCGTATTCGAAATGTATGTGAATCAGAATATATGTTTATGGCCCATGTTGTATAAGATATCATCAATTGCTGTGGGTTCCACTATTTCAAAATGCTTACAGTGAGAGAAAAGCTGTCATTGAAAAGAAGAGGCTTGCGTCAGGGTGGTAAAATCAATTTTACAATTTATTAATTTGACATATCAAAATGTTATATCTACTATATAATTGAAGCTATATTTGTTTTGTCTTACATATATGTATATGTACTTACTTCACCTTGTATATAATAATTTCGAAATTTTCATACAAGTAATATATTTCTTTTCTCTCAGTGTATGTTATGCGATCACTTGATATGTCTGCAGACACCACCCCTTTCCCACGCCTGTTAAACCGTTATGTTTACAGTTTTTACGATCAATATTTGTTTTTGAAATGGCGATCTATGTTTTCCTTTAATCCAAAAGAGAAAATTTGTTTATAAATGGGCATTGGAGCTGCAAGTGCTGAATTAATCGCTCTGTTATGAATATACTTATTCTGAGAGACTTCTGAGAAAATTAAAAATAAAATGCAACAGCAATAAAGGCCTGACTCGAATGCTAAACTCTCCGTTTAGCATCGGCTTTTAATTAACTTGTATATTAATAATATAAAGTTAAAGCTAAATCTATGAGCTGTTTAGGGCATAGATAAACAATTATAGATACGTTTTTACTGTGTTTTCGTTTTTTTTTTTTTTTCCAGTGGAAATCCAGTTTCGGTATCTTGTATCTATTTGTTTATTGTTAATTATGGCATATGAAATGGGAATTGAATGCAATAAAAGTGTTTTGCCATGGCTGGGCTTATCAAATTTCCATAAATATCAAACAAAATGCGTGCCATTAAATGCTGGCATCGACTGCCTTTCACCCTCCCACAGAGCGCGACCCCTGGACAGGTCATTGATTAAACGTTCTTGAGCTTTGTTGTTGGTTGCGATGGCAACGATGCGTTGTTTGTGTTGTGCCCTTCATGTCTCATGTCTCTCTATCTCTATCTCTTTCTCTCTGTCTACGTCTTGGTCCGTCTCTTGAGTTGCGTGTAATTAAGCAGCCAACGATAAGCACCAAGTGGACACTGGGTCACTTGTGTCTTTCTCTCTCTTCTTCTCACTCGCTCACTCACTCACTCATTCTCTATCTCCACTGTCTTTTGTCTTTTCTTAGGTCTAGACGTCTCGTCTATTGACGCATTTGTTTTGCTTTGCTGCACTTGTTGTCGCTCCTATTGGAGTTGCTGTAAAAACTAATGAGCCAGTTGGTCAGTTTGTTTTGTGTCGGTTTCTGTGCGCAGTGCATTACCCTTTGCCACAGTTTGTGGTATTCTTTCCTTTGATTTCCTTAAGAGCACTTAATTACCTGCTAATTGATAGGTGCCGCGTAATTGTTTGTTAGCATTTGTTTACCTACAAATTACATGAGTAAACAAATGAAGTGAAACACGTTTGGAATTGAAGCATTACGAGAATATCCATAAGATACAAATGCATCTTGCGGGTGCAAACAATAAGCAGCTGCCGTTCTTGTTATTGTTTTTGTTGTTGCTGCTAGTATAATGTTAGTGCAGCTCTCTTAACAGCTAGTTTTTCTTATCTCTCTTTGTCTCTTTCTCTCTCTTCGCATTCAGCGCAGTGCGCTCACTAACAACAGTTAACTCAAGCGCTAGCTCGCCCTTACTCTTTCACTCACGCGAACTGCTAACTGGCATTCGAGCAGACCAGTGTGACTCATGCTTAGCGCTAGCCGAAGCTAGCCCTAGTTTCACTCAACACGATTCCACTCGTGATCTCTTAGCGAGTGTTAACAGTGAGCGAAAATGTTAACAGTTTCAGCTAACATTGTGAGCACTTTAGCCATTTTGAGTATAACAGCTCTGTAAGCGCTACACAAAAATATAATACACGGAAAAAACTTAACAGCTGTTGTTGTTTGTATTGTAAAATTTGCCGTTGAAGCGTGCGGTTCGGTTTTTTTTTGCGTTGCGTACGTTGCGCTGCGTTCGATTTGGATTGCACTGGGAGAGTATCTGTCAGATACACGCGTCTTTTTACCTGGTGCTCGCTACTTGATATTGTGTGCCTCAAAACAATTCTTGTTTTTATATATACATATTTATTTTCCTGCTTCCTTTGGGGCTTTTTGTTTTCTTTGTTTTTACTGATTCATCAGCGTGTTTCGTCGTCGTCGTCGTCGCTTCACGTTGTCATTTCGTTCGAATTCGTCGAACTGAAGACGCGCTTCGATCGTGTTCTACATATAGCCCGACCCAGACGTCATAAATTAACGTTTTACTCGGAAATACCATCAGATGAATATATATTTATGTATATATCTATATGTAAATACGTCAAATCCCTTTGACAAAAGGCGTTTCGCAATTTTGTTATAAATATCAATATTTTTAAATGTGCATATTATGAAATAGCAACCGTAAAACCGGTCAACAAAAAATAAAAAAAGAAGAAATAATATGAATAAGGTGAAATCAGTGTGAATCTGTTATGCAAAATATTTGCAAGTGCCGATGTGACTAGTGAACATAACTCAGATACAACAAAACATACGAATATACCACACAACTAAAAGATACAAAAAGCAAGAAGAAGAAAAAACAGAGCTTCGCTTTCATTTGGATAAATTGAATTTTTGTATTTTTTTTTTTCGGCTACTGAGACCCGTTTTAAATGAGATCAACTAGATAAATGGTGCGTATCTTGAACTAAACTAAATCAAATCAAATTCGTGCGACTCTCTCTCTCCCTCGCTCTATGTCTCTGTCTCTCTCTTCCACTATTTCATATCTCCCATCCCAATTCCAATCTGTGAGACGATAATAAATTGAAATTTTTTCACGTCGGAAGTTGAAAACGTTTCAAATTGATTTCTTGATAAACAACAATGGAATACAGAACGTATATACATATGTATATACTATATACATACATATATGCATCTTAGGTTGATATTTTATGTATGTAGGTGTCGCAGCTGAGCTGCTTTTGAATGGAGCTCTTCTGATAATACTTTAACTGATTTCAGTTCTTATAAGCGGCGTAACGAAGTGAGAGGAATAGTTATTCCTCAGTGTTTCTATTTCCAGATATCACTTTGTATGATCGTCTAATTAATTGATACGAATTTAATACCTAACATTAAATTAAACGAAAATAACGAAGTCATGTATCTTATAGATTCCATTTGCCGCAGGTTTTCCTTTGCGGCATTGACTTATCTTTGATGAACTCTGATTGATATTTGATAGACTTTGCTCTAATCGAATAAAGATATTTTTATTTAGCCTTGACAGCCAAAAAAAGTATAAAATGCTTTGGAAT